GCGACTCGGATTCGTTCGAGACCGAGACATTGGTACTCGTTGGCCGAAGGGATATCGATCAACGAACCGATAAAACTTTGACAGCAAGGTAAATCAATGGTCGACCTGAGAGTTCCAGCACGGTGGATAACGATAGCCTAACACGGATTCGGTAGCGCTGAGAACCCCACGGTGAGTGTCCTACGGACCAACCAACGCCAACCAAGTCTCGTTCGCCATCGAATCGTACCCGTACATCTCTTAGGCTTTCCTCGCCCTTGGGATTCCTTCTATTTTACGAGGTCGAGCGCGCCATTCTACCCGAACTCGGAGAACCGCAAATTTTCTTCTTGGTTCTATACAAATGTTGTACCGTCGTATTACGTTTAAACACATCTCGTTCGAATTCACGCGAAACGTCGATCGCGATTGTGAAATGATTCGTGCGTGAATCGCAATGGTTACACGTAAACAAACACAAGAAGGAAACGTGCGATTCCATATCGGCGAAAAAGTAATTCGCAGGTCAACGGTTTCTAGGAAATTAGTCGGTCGACGTTACCATTCGGTGGAATAAGCTGGCGAGACTCGGTCGGAGCTCGCTGCAACTCCGAAAGCTTGGCGAGACGGGAAACGGTTCTCAGACGGAAGGCCGAACAGAGCGAAACGTCTCGTCGAGCGAGGACTTTACGACGGGCCATTCCGCGAAACGCAATTATAGGGCTCGATTTTCAATTTAACCAAACGAACGTAATTACCTTAACGCAGGCCACCTTCCGCCGTGGCCGGACGGTTCGTGTTTCTTTTAATCGGCCACGACAGAATCACCGAGAACATTGTCGGTCGTTGAATCGGTTCCATGGAGTACGAAGAGAGATCTCGAACGGAAAGGCAAACGAACAAGTTAGAGCGAAGAAAGAATGCACGCTTCGAGTGGTGGTCGGAATTACCGGTAATTTCCGGCTAGTACTTGGCTATTGGATGTCGGGAACGAGAACAGGGAGAGATGATCCCGTGGAGAAAAGAGGAAAACCTGAAATAACGATCACGTGCGTTTGCGGACGTGTACCGAATGTCGCCTCTTGTCGATAAGATTGCAACGATTCGAATAGCGAACCGAGATATCCTGCATTTCGTGAGAAGATGTTCGGTTTGGTTCGTCCTATTCCAGCGCTATTCCTTCCTTCCGAGTCGGCACGATTTTAGGGTGGGTTCTGAGAGGGGAATCGAGAATTCTTTCTTCGCGAGTGGCTAATGGTTTTAAGAGAAGCACGCTCCGTACGATACCGCTAACCCGCCTCTTCTTTATACCCTCTTTCCAACTCGTGGAACGGAGAGAAGCCTCGAACTGACCACTGTTCGCGACGGAACCCAACGTAACGCAACTTCGATTCCGAAATACTTGGCAACTCTCTAATTGTAAGAACTCGAAGCGCGATCGAGTATCGCGGAATTCGAAATGTAGGAAGGTACCGCGTAGGCCAGGTCGAAGCATTCCTCTAGCCGGGATAATTCCTGAAACTCCCAACGAATTTCTAACCGGTGCCCGCTTTACATAACTGAGGCTACGACTCTCTTCGAGCTCCGACGAATCGCGATACTCCATCCTTTGACTCCTCTTTACAAGGAAACGAATTGTTCACGGTTTAGCCGCGAGTTTAACGCTTCGGAATTGCAAATCCCTCCTCTCGAAGTAAACGCGATAAAGGGCTCGCGAAATCTTGGCCCGTTTCTTCGTCCATTCCCGAGGCGTCGATGGAATGCGAACTCGGAGCTTTTAGCGACCGATCCGATGGTCGAGAAACACGAGACACCGTTCGTTAGTCCGTTACCTTTACCCCTTTATCGCGTCAATTTCATTTAAACGATCGAAAAAGAAATTATTTCCCGATGTTTCGTGCATCTCGAGCTTAACCAAATAACAAATCGAATCGTCCGAGCTATTAAATGTCTCGTTGCGACATCTTAATTGCGAAACACGATAAATCAAAAAGTACCATTACTCGTGAAAAATACACTTCAACTCGTATTTCATCGTGAGTAATTAGTAGTTTCCCGTAGAGAGGTAAAATCGACCGCGGAAAACATAAAAATCTAGTAAACGCGGGGGCGTCAGCGTTCACGAACGACCGTAATTATCATCGCCCCTGCAGTTGCATTTATTACGCTCGGGCTGACTAACGAGCCCCTTTTTTCCTGGCACGATCGTCGAAGGAACTCGGTCAACCTCGGTTCGGATAAATCGTCGCCGAGAAGGCTGACGAATTATCGAGAATTAATTCTCCGGGGTCAGCGACGCACGACGCGACGACGACGTCGACGTCGACGCGTCATCGGGCTATGTCGTTCATCGCGAAACCCTATTTAATGGGCCGAGTTCTGCCAGCATAAAATGGCTCTGTTTCAAGAATATCCGTTGTTACCGAGGTTCACGGTAAGTACAAATATCGCTAACAGTAAATACTCTAGTGTCCGTGCTAATGGTTAAATCGATAACATTAACGTTTGCGTCAACGAGAATCCTTTTATTGCTTCTAATTACATTCGCATAGCGTACTCGAGCAAAAGCAGAGTACCGATACACCCCCGAAACCCTTAAAGCGCGTATAAATTACCGTTCCTTGTAAAGAACGACTTGGAGAAAATTAATTCGAGTGCAATATATCTCAAGTATCTTATGTTCTTTGAACGAACAACGTTACGTAATATCCGCGTAATGTCGGTCGGTTGGTTTATTCAACTGGTCGGTCGATCGATTCGCTCGAGCTTTCTCTTATTGTCCACGCGAAATTACACCAAGAAAATCCCGCGGAAATAATTACGCGAACGCCGTTAATGCGAAAGCTTCGAAGGAGAAACGACGCCGATTCCGATGCGGGAGGCGAGAAGAGAAGTAGAGAAAAGAGCGCGAGCGGGCCGAAAACTGCGAGACCTCGCTCTACGTGTACCGACCCCCTCTTTCTCCGATTCTCTTGTGCTGTGAGCATTAAACAAATATTACGAGCGCTAATCGCTACTAAAAGCTTTGCCGAGTTTCTCGCACGTTCGATCGGGTTGCTGTGTTCGCGATACATCACCGTGGAACCGACTAGAAGCTACGCTCTAGTTGAGTCGTAGCTATGCGTTATTCCATCGATTGAAAATTGTACAAATTGCTATCGGTCGACAATGTCACCGATACGTAACATCGATTCATGCATTATTGGCAAATTGTTGTTATTCGACGTATCAGGAGACACGTAAAAATGGTCCCGTTTGGGAGAATCTCGCAATTAAAAAGTTCATTTAATTCTCTTTCGTTCTGAAAAACGGACACATATGCTCGGCGATTATCGATTCACGCTGATTCGTTGAACAAATGTTGCAATGAAAAAGTTCCGTCGTTCGCGTTACAATAAAACGGCACGTGTGGGCTGGGTTAGCGACAGCCGAAATTTTATCGGTCCCCGGTGGACGTGTACAATACGATTATTCCGGCACTTGGTTGACCATGCTTTATCAACTCTGACGTAGAGATGGAAAAGCCATTTCATCCTCGACCGACGATTTCATAAATCGTTGTTCGTTTAGCCGTTCTATCGCCGCCTGGTATTCCACTGGGAACGTTACAACAGATGGAGTCAATTTTCTTTCAATTTCTCGAATGAACCGAAAGGTGACGGTCCACGAATTCAAACGATCAAGTAAAAGCTACAACTCGAAACACTGTAGATGTAGAAAATGTATGGTATACGGTAGAATCTTTACGATTCAAAATCAACTACTAACCCGATAATAGAAAAGCTCAAAGTATAAAATCAAAGAAAGTTTAGACGTTCAACTAATCGTAAACAGAAATCGGACTTACTAACTTGCGAGTTGCGGCAAACAGCTCGAGATAGAGCACACGTTGCGTTATTCTTTTAATCCGAAGAGACGAGATGACACGAGAAAAGTTTCGGCCCATCGCGTCGCATCGGCGCGACGTCGCGTCGAATACAAAACGAGGTCGTCGCTACTTCCTCTATATCCGCTGGTCCTAGCGAAAATGAAAATGTTCCGTAGTCGGAAACGACGTCCACGGGCTCTTTCCAATAAAGTCGCTTTCCGAAGTCGTTCGGAGAACGTTTGCTTTACGTGCGAAAAACGTTAGCCCGTTTGCGCGCTCGAGGCCTTTTGTGGAATTGAATTACCTCGAACGGAATGATTTTCTTTCATCGAATATCGACAAAGGCTCAGACGAACACCAACAGTTTACAACGTCGCGATTATCACTCTCAGTGCGCGAAACATTTCAACTTTCCAGCGTGGATACGTCGTGGTATTTAAAAGAAGGCTAAGAGAAAAAACACAGAATACGCTGAAATTTTAGGCGCTTTGTAATATACCGAAGGGACCGGCAAATTGATCGCGTTTTTTACACGATCATCAAACAAGAGAAACGAGACGAAACGAAATGAAACGAAACGAAACGGCTGGAAAATACTTGTGCATGTATATCAATGCATTAATTTGTATTATAAAATAATTACATACGTATCAACGCAACGGTTATTTCATTTCTGGTTGAACGGACAGCTACGTCGATAATTTAATCGTGGTCCAAGTATTTGCAGGCATGCGCGCGAAAGATGTAAAACGAAAAACGTAAAACGAAGATTCCGAGTGATCGTGATCGATAACCGGAACATGTTATTTTCCGAAAGTAGTCTGTTCTCGCGAAAATGCCATAAAAGTACCAACGAATGTCTCGTGTCTTTTGTTCCTTCGGACGGAACATCGGCTACCGAATTTTTTTATCGCGCCGGAAACAGTGTTTGCGGAACGCGGATCGGTTACGAAGGAAATTCGGTGGGTGATCGGAACTGGTCGCGGTCCGGCGGGTATTACGACGGCGATTAAAACATTAGGCTCCGTCGTAAACGACACTGGTGCTTAGCACGGAAGAAAGTACCGATGGTCAACTAGTCTCTATAAAAGTACGTTGTCTCAGGGTATCGACATCCAGTTGTTCATAGGATACACCAGGAAATAACGGCAACATGGCGACGATGGTAAGTTCCCTTTCGTTGTCAAGCATAGTTGACATTTTGATTTCGTTTTGGGTAAAAATAAGATATCTGTTTGCACCAAGCTAAGCCCAAAATGGAATGCTGGTTTAAAATTCTTTGCCGCGTAATGGCTAGGTAAGTGGAGGTTTTGTTCGAATCGGATGAAACGCGTCGTAATAGTCCGTTTTGATGCTAAAAAAGAACGTGCCGCTATACTGGATGACCATAATAGTTGCAATCTATCACAATCTAACAGGAAATTGATCGAAATCACTTGCGAATACCTAAACCGGCATACATATTTTTTATTCGTCATCTATTATTCGATGCGTTCGAGACAGCTGACTTTGCTGATTTTCTTCGCAAAATTCAAGTTCGATTTCAATTCTCGTTTAGAGTTGGCTGACGTCTCCAGCATCCCTCGGCGAACCACGCGATGCGACGCGACGCGACGCGACGCGACGCGGTAAGAAAAGCAAAACGTGCTAAAACGAACCCGGCGACAATTTACCGAATATTATCTCCGGTTCTTCCGCTCGGGCGTGTTCGTTTCGCACGGGCATGACAACGAGAAAACGCGAGAGCGCCATGCGCCAGCCAAAATGGCTCGCGGACCTCGACGGTGTTTTATTGTTTCGGTTAGCCGAGCTAGCGTCCGGCGCGCGAGCATCGTATCATAATAAATTTACTTGCGGCTAGGCGATTTTCGAAAATTAGTTTCACCGCTCCACCGTGCCCGGTGCTTTCGTGCTCGTGATCGAATTATATAAAGTAAATAAAAAACCGATTGTTCGGTTAATTATCGAGAGTATCGTTTGATCGAACGATGCGATCATCGAGGTGTCTCGCTCTACTAGGCGATGATCGCCTATTCAAAGGAAATTATTCGTTGGCGATAGTCGAAACTATGTAGGTACATATCGATTAAAAGCATACGTAAAGCGTACTTCTAAAATGTTCCGTTTCTTTAATTCGAGGCGTTGGTCTCAGCCATCGGTCTGCTGCCGGTGCTGCTGATGGTGATGCTGCTGACAGTCGTGGCTGGCCAACATTTGAAACCATTGGATGAGAATCGACCGCAATTGCAACCGACCAACCAGAAATTAGCCGATTTCGTCAAGGTCCCGCGACAATTGCTACCGTCTCGTCTGTTACCGCACCGTGACTTCGGGAACACGCTCTCGAGCACCGAGAGACATCTCCGGAAACGAGAATTAGGTGACCTTGCAGCAAATTTCCAACCGCTAACGCTGCCCCTGGTCGTTGGAGCACCCTTGCCGCTCCATCGAACTGTTTTCGAGCCGAGCACCAAGACCAACCGCGGTGTCGGTGTCGGTGTCGATGTCGGTCGCGTTAACGAACCGACGACGGGGACGGCGACGCCGATAAAACACGCGATCGAACCTCGCGTTACCTTTGTCGGACCACAGATCGTTCCCACGCAACGAAGAATATACGACAATCACCGCGCGGCTTCCTTTTATCATAGCCACGGTCATCGTCACGGGCATCACGCTCATCACGATCATCATGCGAAACATAAACACGATCACGGTCACAAACACCATCACGATCACGAACACAAACACGGACACGAGCATCACAGCGAGCACAAGCATCACGAGGAGCATAAGCAGCATCACGATCACCATCATCATCACGGACACGATCACCATCACGGTCACAAGCATCACGAGGATCACAAACATCATCACGGTCACGAGCATAAACACGAACACAAGCACGGCCACGATCACAAGCATCACGGACAACACCATCATCATCATGGTCATCAACATCACTCGAAACACGAGCATCACGAAGAACACAAACATCACGCCGAGCATCATCACCACCACAAGCACCATCATCACAACGAGCACCACCACCATCACGAACATCACCACGTTAACGAACATCATCATCATCATACGCACAAGGAAACCGAAAATCACCACCACCATCACGGTCACGAACACAAGGAGGAACACAAACACGGCCACAAGGAGGAGCACAAGCATCACCATGGACACGAGCACAAACACGGACATCACGAGGATCATCACCACGGTCATCACGAGGACCATCATCACAAACACGGCCATGAACACAAGCACGGTCACCACGAGGATCATCATCACAAGCACGGCCACGAGCACAAACACGAACATCACGAGCAACACCATCACGGCCATCACGAGGATCACAAGCACGACCATCACGAGGATCATCACCACAAACACGGTCACGAGCACAAGCATGGCCACAAAGAGGAACATCATCACGGTCACCACGAGGATCATCACCACGGTCACCATCAGGATCACAAACATCATCATCACGAGCATCACAAGCACGGCCATGAACACAAGGAGGAGCACAAGCACGGCCACGATCACAAGCATCATCACGATCATCACGAGGAACATAAACATCACGAACACCATAAACACCACGCATCCCACGAGCATAAACATGACCACTCCCACGAGGAAGCTCACAAGCACGTCGACGAACATCGTCACGAAACCCACCACAAACATCACGAAAATCATCATCACTCCTCTTACGAAGGACACGGCCACGAACATTTCAAAGGACTCGGACATTACTTTGATGCATCTCAGAATCACGAGGAGTACGTGTTTCCGGAAGAAAGCGAAACGATCGTTGCTAGCCCACCGGTCAACGATATTCTTAAAATTAAGAAAGACCCGGAACTGTCGCCGACCGTCGAACAAACGGCACCAGGTCAAGCCTAACGGTAACGGTATATAGTAATATAATATACAATAATATATGAAAGCTGGATCGCGGTATCCGAGTTCATCGCGTTCTTAAAGAGAGCTACGATACGATCAGAATGGGAAACTCATCGACGGATGTGCCCAATCAGCAAAGAGACGGCCCAGGCAAAGAGAACGACGCCGATGCCAACGCTTACGCCCTACGCCAACGTCGGCGTCGCGATGAAAATTACGGCCGGATGGCTGTGCGCAGAATCGCACAACGATCAACGTCCCAGCGTGTGCAATCCCGCACAGTCGCGAAAACGTGGCGGAAACTCGGTAATCGTGCTGCTTATTTATTATTTTCCCACACAATTAGTTGAAACTCGTGCAAACGAATGCACGAAAGTTAAGAAAAAGAAAATAAAAAAAATAAAAAAACTCATTTAAACTTTACATTTATAAATGTTTATATTTACTTATGTTTTTATATCCGCTATACTTCAAATCCCACAGACCTGCAAACTTTTCAGAAAATTAACATTTTCGTCTTACCGAAATTTTCTTGTAAGCCATAACGTAAATTCAACAATTTGGAAATTGTTCCTCGTTAGTCAGCCTCGATTGTATCTTTGTTGACAACTCTGAAATATAAAGTTTTCTCAAGTTTACGATCGACCCCGTGCCTCTATTAAGCCCTTCCCGGCTCGGTAGCAAAACTCCGATAGAAGGAACGGTCCGATTCTAGTTTCGAACTGCGACAACGTTTAAACTTTGCTCTCGAGATGTTGAAATTCCGACAGAAAATGGAAATCTTTCGTCCAGCGAGAATTCACGAGGGAAATAAACCAAAAGCTCGACGTGGTAAATATGTAAGGCCCGTTTAATGAAAAGTCCGAAAGGTAAGGCTCGAGTCGGAACAACTATTACGGTGTTTCTAATAGCGAAAGACCTTGAATACGTTCCAAACAGCTTAAAATAAATTCATCATACCGGCGTAATCCCATAATACAGCGAAACTCTCCGCGTTCTCTTCGATAAGTCGCCGCGCCGATCCGAACAAGTCGCGGAGAGTGTTGTAATCTCGGCTTTCAGTTCCTGATATCGATTTAAACTCTCGTCTCCGACAATGAGCTGCCGACCAACATTGTCGACAATGAAACAAGATTAATAGGTAGAGGTACAGATAGATTCTCTATGTCTAGGATTGTACAACGTAAAACGAAACAAACTTTTTTTCATTGTTTATTCGTTTCCATAGTTGTTTGATAATTTCAAGTATTTTGTAGCATACGTAGTAAAAACAAAACGATACCTTTCAAGCTAAAAATACGCGCGCAGACGTCGCGTCGGGGTCGTATGTTTACACCTATATTCGCGTTAAGTAACTTTTGAATATCGTAGACGATATCGTTACCTCATTGTCAAATAAACCAGAGATAAAAAATAGAACGAACGGTGACCCGCGCGAGGACATTTAGCGGAACGAGACACTTATCGGGAACGAGGACGAGTTTGGTCTCGTTCCGTGACCTCCGTCGAAACAAACGAAAGTTTCGTAATGGAATCGAAATATGCACGGTCTGAAATTAATTTAGGGTTCGCAGATTATTTTTCCGCGATGTCGAGTCCCGATGCCGCTTTACCTTGTAACTTTCAGCGAAACTCTAATATTCTTCGTTATCGAGTCGAATTGAAATCCGATCGATCGGACGATGCGATAGTCTGACTCGATGGTTCCCCCGTGGAAAAAGTGGTCGAATTTAACGATCGTTTGCTGCACGACAACACTCGATAATTCAATTAGAAATTCAAATGTTTGTCTCAACTAGACGATGACTGTAGCTCGAACGGATCAAGAAATCTCGCAAAAGAATAAGAGGCTTACGTTTCTCGTCGAAAGCTTTCGAGGAAATTATAAGAGTATCGAAGCGATGCGTTGGAGGGATGCGATGCGACGCGATGGTTCGTCTCGCGAGCGAGTAGAGCTGTGGGAAAAGTAACGAAGCGAATCGAGAATCGATTCTCCAACTAAATTCGCAAAACTAGAGACGTCTGCCGATGAAATGGGTTAATAAATCGTTCGACGCGATAGATTCTGTGAAACGAAGCGTGAAAGAAAAGAAAGAAGAATGGAAACGAGAGGGAGAAGAAAGGGGGTTGCAGAGTTTGCGATCTTGAGATTTAAATTGGTCCGGTAAGTTTATCAGCGTGCATTGGCCGGTGCTTTGAAAGAATTCCGACGGGGCAACGGTTCTTTTTCAGTTTTAGTTTTCTTGTCGCTCGAAGCCGCGGAAGATAAGCTAGAACGACGGGAGTCGAGTAAATCGGGACCCGAACGAAGAGTCGAGAATTGCTCGAATCTCGCGTTACGCTCGGCCAATTTAACACGCCGAATTCTTTTTCGATCTCTTCCTCGAATCGAGCGTTGTTGGTCCACTGCTCGAGAACGAAACGCTTTTACGAAAACTTTTACGAATAAATTTATTCTCCTCATCTTTTGTCGCTGTGCAGGTTTACAAGGTACCGCTGTAATCGGGAAAGGGGTAACAACAACGGAGCGCAGATGTCCCTCGCGAGTACATTTTGCCTTAGAAAAACTGTCAAAGTTCAAAGACAACCTTACGGATTCGAAAGAAACAAGCGGTAGATCGGAAACGAAAAGTTAAAACATGAACTGGACTAACGAAAGTTGGCGGAAAATTGGACGCGAATCGACATCGAAAACGAAGGAATTCTAATAAAATGAGATCGACGAGCGGCTTAACGCAAATCGCGAATACAAAGTGCTCTTTCGCGGAAGCTAACGGTACAAGGGTTCGTCAATGAGAAACCGTCGCTTCCATAATTCAGCCCGTAACCGACAAACGGGTCAAAGGAGAAGTCTTTTTCCACGGAACTCGTGTTCTCGACCGCTTAACGAGAGAGACAAAACGAGACGAGATGGGACGAGGTAGCTAGGTTCGGAACGAAGAAAACAGGAAATAGGATGTCGACGGCGAAGAAGAATGGAAGCACGAAACGAACGGGAACGGGAACGGGAACAGGAACGGGAACGAAAGGGCTGTTCAGCTGTCGCGTCGCATGCAAATGTGCGACAATCGTTAATCGCAAGAAGGTTATTTAATCGTTTTAGAACGAGCGTCTACCTTTTTTCCCGAAATACTTGAAATCGATGCAACTGGACGAAAAGTTGCAACCCGAGAACCGATCATAGTTAGAATTGCAAAATTAATTTGAACCAAAGTTTGGCAGAAAGCGAAGAAAAGCTTGAGAAAAGTTGAGCCGGCGCGTCGGCAGGGTGCAGAGAGGAGACGGACCCGATAGTTACGCAAAAGAAACGTAAACCAGCGGCAACGCGACGCGACGCGACGGTCAAGTTTCAAGTGCTTCGTCCCTTTTCCCTCGAGTTCATAAATAATTCACTCGGCAAATACTTTAATTGCGCTAAGCATGCTGGAACGATGCCACGGGATAATGCTGCAATTTTCAGCCGTGAAACCACTTTCTTTTGTCTTCCGTCGCTCCTTTCCTTCTTTTTTTTCACTGCCGCGTCCAGCAGAGAGCGACAGTCGGCCAGTTTTCAACTTTAACCCGATGTCAGGGATGGCTTTTCGCGGAAAAACACGGAAGGGAATTACAGGAACGCGGCACTCGTTCATGGTCGGATAAGAATAAGATTACTTCCAGTTGAACTTTCACGTTATTCCTTTCCGTTTTCTTCGTCATTTTGGCGAATGCGAGTTCATCGCAGTTGGCCCGAAAAATATTCGATCGAGTATTCATAGAAAAGCGCAATGTTAGTTGTAACGCGTCATCTATTTAACTCGTCAAAGTTAATGTTGGGAAACCGAAATACTCGCAGCGAATGCAACCAGTAATACCGAATGAGGCATAATAATTAACAATTAAGGACTAGTTAATCGTGCCTCGATGATTGTTACTCAATCCTTTGACGGTCGCCAAACGACAGATAAAAAGAAAGAGTAACATTACCGGAGAGATACGAAACGAGGCGTCGGCGTTGTCGTCGAGGCAATTGGAGGAGAAAACATCGTGAAAAAGACGAACCGTTCAACAAAGAGAGAAAGCTCGATTTCTTTCGAACAAGACCGTTCGATAGACACCATTTTCCGCCACAGACAAATCATCGCGCCTGACAAAGGAAACGTTTTTTTCCTGGATTCTTGTAGCATTTGCCTCTGTTGCGCAAAGGCATCGTCCGCGGCTCTCGATAAAAACAAATTGCCCTCTCGATCCAATTGTAAACACACGATTCCAGCCGAATGTGTCGCAAAAAAACTTAATAGTTTCGTATTCTCTTCTCGAGTTCCGATGAAATTTTTCATAAGATTGGCTACGTAACCTTTACGCGGCAAAGTTAAATAAATACTTTCTCTATCGTTTCCGATTAAGCGTCGAAAAGCATCGCGACGTACAGGTTTGCGTTAATTTCCCCTCGTCCTTCAGTTGCCAAGTTCTCGAGTATTTGACTAGGTGTAAAAGTTTGACGGTTCGTCACGGTTAAAAAGATTGCGACGGGACTCGAATAGACTCGTAAAAATCAATGGTAATTGAAGCGATAATGGTAACTCGTACGAGACACGTTTCCTTGTTGGCGGTGTTGATTCCTCGGCGAGAAATTTGGTCAGACGAGCTCACGGACTCGATGAGAACGCGCGTCGCGCGCAACAATTGGACCATCAGGAGCAATCGTCGAGTATTTATCGATAATCGATTGCGCGCTAGACCCGAGTCGCGAACGATTCCATTCTCTCGGAGGTTATCCTTGTCTTGTAACTTCCGCTTCGTCGTTCTCCCTTTTTCTCCCTGTGGCTCTCCCTTTGTTTCTCCCTTCCGAACGGTAAAGGCCCGTTCGGATGCACGCCCGAGTGTTTCAAGGGGAATTCCCAAGGATCCTGTTTCAAGGTTTGCGTAGCTTTCAGCGGGAAACCCTGACGCCCTCTTCGTGTTGCAACAAACGATTACGCGTGCACGAGCTTAGACAGGTACTCGAGGAACGCTCTGCGTGCCTCGGGCTAATTTCTCACAGGTGCGGCGCGCCTCGATCCTGCCAGAAACGCAATCTGGCACCTGCAACGCGCGCGCGCACAAGCGTCTATTGTACAATATACACGCGCGACCGCATGTTTGTACGCGCGCCACGCCTCCTATCCTCTCGTTACGCAACCCGTACCCTTTCGATCCCCAACCGAGACATCTTTGTTCTTAATCTAGCCAGGATAATTTACGTTGCCATCGTTTTAATAATTCCTGTCAACCACTCGCCACTTTGCCAACGGAACACCTTCAGTCTGAGAAGGAAACCCGACGATGGACACACTTTACAGACCTTTTAATTAACCTTCGAGTTGTCGACTCGTACAAGAAATGAGAATAACCGTCGGCTTCGGTTATCGTGTTACAGAGGCGACGATACATGTAATCGAAAAGATGCGAGCAACGAGTAATTTACAAAAGCCACGATAAATCGCAGGAAGCTTGAAAAATAATCCAAGCCCGGAATTTTCAATTAAACTCGGACCTCGTTCCGCTTCCGGGTACCGTCCCAGGAGAACGCATCGAATATTCTCTGGCATCGCGATAGGTCGATACAATCGATATTCGACCAGCCAAGGTAATGGCAGATATCGCATAAAACGGATGATATCGTTACTAGACGCCGAGATCGCCAGTTTGGGCGTGGACGCGGTTTGATTCGGTCACCGTTTCATCCCTGTTCCGAAAACATGTAGATCGATCCGTGTATATAATCATTTTCCACCTGTGTTTTCGCGCCACAACAACATTATATTTTTCAGCTACCGCTAACTATATGGAATTAATTAATGATTTTGTACGTATAAACAAGTTAAATTCCCTCTCTGGCAGATTTCTCGAAACGCAACGCAAAACCTGCTCGAAGGATAAAAACGTGTAATTTTGTTTAGTTAAAAACTGGTCTCGCAATTCTGGAAAATAATTTGCAATTTCTCCACGACAGATTATAAAGCAGTGTCACGCCAACTGCCCGTTCCTCAAAACTGTAGCCACCGTCTATCTCGTAATTTCCTCCGACGAAATTGCATGCCTAAAGGGAGCAATCCGAACGGTTAAGTTTTTTATAACGTTAACGTCGGCTGATGTTGTCATTATCGCGTTGGCCTCGACACTTTTCCCGTAGACGTGATTTTAAGCGTAGAAAACGTTACGTCCGTTCTGGAAACGTCTAAATTTGATCGCGATTACACCTAGACCGCGCACCGGTTTCAGTCGGTGCCGAAGGGCGTCACGCCAGTCACGCGACTCATCGTCGATCAGGACAGACAAATTATATGTAATACTTTCGCCGTCTAGTCTGTAATTCGATTACGAAACCTTACGCTACATTCTTTACGACGCCCAATTTCTTTTATAGGATAACGTCAATTACGAAATCGAATACGCGACTATTCCTTTAAACCTCGCGTCGGTCGCGAACCATCCGCGTTCTCCATTGGATCAGCGCCAGTCTCCAGGAGGCTGTACCGAGCAAATTGCGTCCGCTCGGCCACGCCAAATTGACCAAGAACGAAGGGAAAAAGCCAGCGATTCGGGAAACGTGAAAAATCGCTCGTTTCCGGACCAACCAGCGCCAGCGCACCGCGTGCTCGCACCATCCGGATCGCCGACCAGAGACGACCGATCGTTGCGACACGCGTCGCTCGAAATTTCCCATACGCGGTTAGCGAGCTTGTTTTCGAGCGTATTTTTATGGAAACACGATGACACCGTATCGTTTCTCGTAAAATGAAAATTCTACGTAAACATTCAAACGGACGCGCCTAACGAACAGTTTGAAATTTTGTCGAGCAAGTCATCGTAAATGCACGTAGCATCGGAAAGAGTCTACCGGAGCGTAAGAAAGTGGTCGACGAGCCCGTTCGTACGTGGCGTGTGCGAAACACACAGGACCCATCGTGGCCAAGCAAACGTGGAAAACGTTAACCTGATTTATGGTCTAGGCTCGCGGAGCCTTTTCGGAATTTGCATTAGACCAGGAACAAGACGAATGAACGTCTCGGTGTCTAGGGGTAGCAAGGGAGCCGGAAAACGAAGAGATACGAAGACTGGAGACGGATGCGAGAGGAAGATGGAAAGGTAAAGAATATATATATATATATATATATATATATATATATATATATATATATATATATATATATATAGAGAGAGAGAGAGAGAGAGAGAGAGAGAGAGAGAGAGAGAGAGAGAGAGAGATTAATCTGTGCTAACGGATTCAGGGGTAACTCGATACAAGTTGTGCTATAGCTCGTCCAGCCGAAGGACTTCTAAATGTCCTTTCCCCTGCTAGCAATCTCAGGTGGATCCGTTTGTCAGGCTGGTGCGCGCGAAATTAGATTCGTCCTCTTCAAACAGCTGATTCGGTTCGTTTCACGGATTTTCGTGGCAACGCAACCTACGAGTTCCAGATTCGTAGACCCTCCGAAAAAAGTCATGGAATGACCAAAGGAAACGCGAAGGAGGCTCTCCTGGTGTACGCGGTACTATCTTCGGAGATTTAATCGAGTTCCATCGACTGCAGCGAAGCTATCGCGTTTTACGATCGAGCCGAGACCCGGCAGTCACCTGGACCAGCGATGGAAATGAAACTTTTCCTCGCGGCGAATCAAGATCCCGAGTCAGAGGCGTCTCGTTTCTTCCGTTGGAAGGTTAACCTCGATAACGTATCGGAGTTTCGAACCCCTCGAGAGTCTAAGGAAACGTACAAACCAGGGGAAACAGACGAAAAGATTACCGAACCAAGACGTTTGCCCGTGAAACGTTTTCTTAAAAGTCGGAAAAAGGAACCTTGACAACAACCAGGTTATAGATACGCGAATCGTGCTAAATCCTAACGATCTCGTTTCGATACGTACCACCTATAGGTGTACATCTCTCGTCCCTTTGACAAAGTATCGTCAAAGGGATCCTCTAACCGGAAAAATCGCACGCGGAATATCCAAGTTCGCGTAACTGCGATGACGCGAAGACGCCGACGCCGATGTCTGGTTTTATCTCAAGTTTTCCGCACCAGGCCGGAACAGAGTTGGCGACGATTCGAAAAATACTTCATTTCGCGTTGGTTCGGTGTCGGCGTGCTCGCCGAATGCGGACGAGGACCGACGCGAGATCGGAATACGAAGCATCGAAGGGGCCACCGTATTCGAGGAGAAAAGCTGAAGATAGTCGAAAGATTCGAGTTTTTCGTTATAGTTGAGGACTCTTGCGATATACGATAGCTACGTATAGAAGAATCTGCGAGGGTATCTAGTAGTTTTAGTTTTACTTGACTGTATTTTCAGAATCTTTTCTAACCGATGCCGATGCCGACGCCGACGCCGCGACGTACGATCGGAATACGGAACGTCGCACGTCGCGCGTCGCGTCGAAGGGGCCAACGGTTCCGGAAGAGGAACCAGATACAGCCTCGAGTGCAACAGAGTCGATCAAATCCCACTGGAAGAGAGGAAGATCGCGGAGAAGAACGGGGGCGCCTGCGCCCTCGGTTATACCGAGTTTCTGCGTACGTTTCCAGCAGTCGGGTCTTCAACTCCGGACCGCGAACACTCAGTGTTCGGGACCGCGCGACTCTGCCGCCACGGTGGAAACACCCTCTCCATCCCGACACGGGTTTCACGAACGGAAACGACTCCGTTCCGCGCGTGCGAAACAATACACTTTTCACGGTGAAAGTTCGATCGAGCGTTAGAGAGCTTCCGTTTCTTCTCTTGTTGCTCGCAGACGTAGACGGAACTTGGACGAATCCAAACTTTTTCCGCGCTTGCTCCTCCCGCACGGACATTTCTACAATCGTGTTCTTCCTTTTGTAACTTTTACGAGGTACGCTACTTGGAAAGTTCCTTTACAGACTACGATAATTCAGCGGAACAGTACCAGTGCTTCGCGGCCGACACACCACCTCTATCGAATTAACAGATCGATTGCTCGGCTAATTGTTCATATCTGTCGCGTATTTATCGGCAATATTGCTAGAGTAGTTAATCGTTGCAATTTCCACAGTGATATATCGTACTTTGTCAAAGGACTAACACGACATCGTAACGTGCCGATATCTCTCAAAGAACCTTTCATTCGAAAAGACATTAAATGAAAATTTATTCGAACCGTTAGCGCGCAAAGAACGTGGAATGAAACTAGAACTACTTTTACCAAACGGTACGTGTAATAGCGTAAACAAAATTTTAACTAACGCGACCAACTATACCGGACGTTGCGATCGGCGTCGGTCATTCTGTCAAGGAGGATCAAAGGGCGCGATCGTTGACGTCGTTAGCGCTAATTAATCATCGGCAGCCGGATAAATATCGTGTATCAGGGTGATAACCGGTACGGCCGCGACGCGGCAGTATCCACCGGTAATTATGAACAGGCCAACTCGTTGGTCGCAGTCGACGCCGACGTTAACAGCCTGGTTCCCGAATGCTTGCCTCGGCCGTTTCGACCGCGCTCCCCTGAACCGTTCAATTGTTAATCGGGTACGGGTATACGAACCGTGACGTCCGTTGAAAGAACGCGAACGTAATTACCATCGCAACTAGTCGAATCCTCCACTTATTCGCCACCGCTTGCACGCTTGCAAAATTGATAGCTGCAACCCGCCTTCCATTCGCGAGAAATAAATTCGTAAATTTCGTCGAAACGTTTCGTCAAATTTTCACCGAAATATCGTATTACGTTGAAACGGAATGAAAGGGCGAGAGAAAATTAATCGAGTGGCAAATTAATCGTGACAGATTTACCGATAGCAGTGATACCACCATGGAGTATCACCGACGCGTGGAGATGAACGCGCGCCGCCGGTCCGAGATGAAAAAGTCCGTACGGGAGCGCGGCTCGGCCTGTGGACGCTGAAGGGAAACGGACATTACCGAGACTGTCACGAAACAACCGATCCAGGATCTAGGATCCAGCCAACCCAAAAGGAAGCGATCGAACAAAACGGACTTTTCGCGCTGTACTGGCCACGGGCAACTTGGTCCAATCTCCCCGCGCGCCGCTAATTAATCTTCTGGCCGCAACCGCTCGTTCAACGACACCCAGCGGGGCGCTACGAAATAGAATCGCGGAAAGGAGATCGCGAACCAGCTAGCGGTTCGCAACAAAGATAACGAGCTGCTCTCCCTCGAGGATTTGCGAAGCAAATAATTTAGACCGAGTCGAGACTCTCGACCGTAATTAGTAAATAGTCGCGTCGAGTATTTCCGCGGGAGCGGTTCGATTTCCTTCGACCGAAAGTCTGCTCAAAGGACGATCGACAACAAACCGTAACTCGTCGAAATGCACTGTTCCGCTTTCGGTGGGCTCTGACGACAAACGAAAACCACCACGCGTCCCGATTACATCGCAAACCTTGCGAGATCGAATCGACGATGTCGAAACGTCAAAGTTTACCGGGTGGTAGCCGATTGATATCGAATCGCGATTTACTTCGGTGCAGGAGACAGCCGACAACCTCCGAGTAAAAACTTTCGAGTGCGATCGACTCGAACGCGAGACGCACCTGATCGGAAGACACTGCCGCGCCGGTTCAAACGAACCTATCTAAACCGATCATAGATAATCCAGTCGCGACTAACCAATTACGCGGCCAATGGCTCGAAGAAAATGTGTCTGTACGCGATAGAAAAAATGTAGTAGCTGAAAAGTAGAAGAAACGATTCGCGAGAAATCCAAGAGTGCGCAAAGAGGGTACGCCAAGATAAATGTCTCGCGAAATGAAACGCGGAAGACCGAACGAGACGAAAACTGGTGATCTCTGAGCGAAATAACGTCGATAACAAACATTTGCCAAGTGCTAGATCGCAACGTTTGATATTTCGCGAGCGAGATATCGAGATGGGAAGAATGACGAGAAACCGCGACAAGTAATTGCGAGAAGGGGAAGGAAATCGCAGAATCGGTGCTGAGAGAAACAGAGATATCCTGCGGGCTAGCCGGTCAGCCGACGGTGATGGCATGAGGACATTAGTAAGGAGAAGCTGCGGGTCCAGCGAGGAGGAGGATGAGGATGGTGGTGGGCGTGATGGTCCTTGGTCAGCTACTGGCGAGGATACTGCTCGCTGCCCATGCCGGCGATCGACTCGCGGCGGCTCGCAGAATACTCAGAGACGTGCCGTTGATAGATGGGTAAGTGCACACCGCTACGCTTCGAAACTTTTGCGAATCCACCGGTATGTGTTTATTTAACGGATGGATCCGTGTACAGTTGGATGGTTTATCTTGTTGCGTTCGTAATAGTTTCGTGTACGACACGGAATTACAACGTAAAGGCTAAGGTCGACCCATTTCGAGAACCGAGGACCGAGTCGTAGCGATCCGAAAGCAGTTTAAACACTGAAAGATACTTGGCCCATAGTTTTCCAACGATTACACTCTTCGGAACGTTTAACGGAGCTAGAGGTAGAGGTAGAGATAGAGGTAGAAATAGCCGTAGCCGTAGCTTGTAACTACGAAACGAGGAAGAGCAAAATATTTCGATTAAAAAAAGTAGATACAACTATCGTGCAATGATCTCGATCGAAATATAGGCATTCCTCGCAAACGTTTTACAATCCGTTCCGTTTAAAGATGAACAAATATCTAGACGACGTCGAGCATACATTCCGTTCGATGAATGAAGAAAATTGGCACGTATCGCGGCAAAGCTTCCATCCGGTCGATTGGCATGAATTGTGAAAAAGGAAGCGGGATCGAACCGAGATACAGAGACACGAGTTCTCATTTACGTGCCGCAATATTCGTTTTACCAGTCGCGTTTTACCATGTTCTACACCGAATATCTCGGTCCTTGAATTTTCGTCATGCTTTTCGTAAAAGTGTTGAAATTTTAACGAATAACTGAAAACTCCAAGCGTGATCGTTAACTCGAGTGTCGTTGAAACACGAGAACCGCGAGGCACGAATTTATAGCCGACGAGGACAATATCGTCGTAACGACTCGCGTGGGCGACATTCTATGGCCGAGCGTGCCTTTAATTACACTGGAATTAAACTTGAAAGGAATGTCCTCTCCGTGTCCGATTCGCGGTAGAGCGTCGAGCGATACACCGGGAATGGTCGCTTTTTCGTCATTCGTGAAAGAGTCGACCCTCGATCCTCGCATTCGACCGTTCGGATCTCCTAACGAAATTTTTCATCGATCATTTATCCTGTCAATCGTTGGAGATCGAATCGGTCTCGAGTCATCTCGCGCATCCGTGGATGTACCTAGACGAGACACGGAAAGTCATTAACGAATATACGTCCACGAGTGATCTCTTTCGACCTATCGGAATCACCGTTTCGATGGAATCGTTTCTTTATCACGGAAAAAAGAAGAACGCTATCCGATTGGACGAAACTCGAGAGGCTTGCATTCTCTCTGAGAGATAATGAGAAAGTTTCGCGAGTGCCGGAAAGAAAAGACGTTAATGGATGAGAGAGAATTAAACAGACTTCAAAAAAAAAAAGAAGAAGAAAAGAAAAGAAAAGAAAAGAATGTAAGGTATTGAAACGAGAGAACGGACAGGTAGGGTGGAAAGTGTGGAAGAAACTGGAGGAAGATAGAATTTAGATCGAGGATGGCCCGTGGCTATTTGGTCCTCCAGTTTCTCGGGTTGCTAGAGGGAGGATACGAATTTCCGGTTTTCCCAGTTGGAACGAGCTCCTCTGTCACTTGTAGCCACTTCCGTTCGTACGTGTTTCGCGTATGTCCTCGCGAGCGTGGGCTAGTCAATTTTCTCAATGTTCAGCTGTATCGAAGTCTGATCGAGTAACCCGTCGAATCGAACGGCAACAATGGTTTCGATCTTCGCGGAACATCGTTCCCTAGCTCGAATGTATTCAAAACATGGACCAGAGTTTTCTTTCGATCGGTTTTGCATAGAAAACTCGTTCGCGACTGACGGAACGAACGAAGCGTTTTATATTTAACCGATCTTACCGCTTCGGCACCTCGACGAATATTCAAACAAAGTATAAACTGAATTATTCGTAAATTTTCTTCTCGTCGATCGAACAAGGTCGTACTATTTTCTGAGTAACGACGTATTCTGAACATGTTACGCTTCCAGCAAATGTAACCAACAGTCGAGTTTTTTTAAATGGAGCACCGTTACCTAACGATGCGTGCGTCTTCCTTTCGAAATCGCGACCCAGTCGTACCGTTTATCCGTGGTCACGTCTCGAGATTGAGCTACTAGTCGTCCATAGAGACGAGAATGACCCTTTTGTTGTTGCAAATTACAGTCTTTTCCCAGTTGCCTCGACCACGAACGGAACCTTTCACCTCTGGGTCGCGATAGAAATTCCAGAAGTCCTCGAAGGTATCGCGGATAAAAGGCACCGTTAGGGAACAGGAACACGAACGATTTTGCCCGATTGTTGACGAGCCGAAGGCGATTCGTTACCGATAACGAGTGAAAGCTTCGTCGAGCCTATTGTGTCCCGTATAATAGTTTGCATTTTCCCCTCGAAACGGTGGGAACAGAGATAGATAGATAGATAGATAGATAGATAGATAGGTAAAGAGAGAGAGAGAGAGAGAGAGAGAGAGAGAGAGAGAGAGAGAGAGA